TAGTTATATATTAGATCAAACATTCATTTCTAAACTGCACTTTTGCTTACTTCAGCTGACGGCTAAATGAGTATAATTAATGGGAGAAAAATTGAGCTAAGGAAACTTTCTCTGAAACAATAATATTTACTTCTTTATGTGCGGTAAAGTGAGAAGCAGGAAAATATTTTGCTTCATCCGTTGTAAGGTAGACTGTACCAAAAGGATTTATATCTCTTATGGTTCTTGAGTCTGGCAGGTTACAAAGAAAAGCAGATAGACCAATAAAGGGTTAAAGTGTAGAACAGAAAAAGAGAACTGTTCAAGTTGTACTAACCTGACATTCTGAAGGACTGTTACGGACAGTCATGAACTATGATTGAGATATTTCACCAGTTTATGCGCGCTCTAAAAAAAGGTACTTTTTAAAACCTGAACGGTTTTTTGACCCGATGAATATTAAAGAACCTAAATGATTTTTCATTATTGTTGCTAAATTCCAAAAATTTTTCAATTCAAATTCTAAACAATTCTGGTCAAGAAATAAATAATGTTTACTAAATCCAAGGAATTTTTGGTACTTATAAAATCCGTCTACTTTCCTCACAAAGACCTTTTGGTTTTCTTAAAATACTAAAATACTTTGATTTAGTGGGGTGACTGAGGATGAGATAGACCTAAATGGTACGTGTTTTCTATTTTCTCCATTGAATCATTGGTGTTCTACTTAAATTGTAGATTATTAGTCTTCCAGTGGTAAAACCATGACATCAAAAAGCCAGCGATGGCGGGGACAGAAAAAAAGTGTAGAAATAGACGTGGAAAATGACAACCTAGATATTGAGAAACGTTATGCAGTTAGCGATCCACATAAAAGCCGTACACTATCATCATCAAGTGATAGTTCTGAAGTTTCGTCGTGTTCCTCAACTGTTTCAGATGCCAATCGGGTAAACGTAGCAGACAAACCCTCAGTGAGTAAAAAATAACCATACGTACTTATATTCGAACAACAATCACAGTAATAGTATGCATTTAAATTTTCAGTTGGTTGGATCACCTGTACATGGTGATGATATAAACATGGATGTTGGTAAAGAATTGAATAGTACGCAAGAAATGAGCTATGGTAGTGATGATTCATCAAGTGAAGAAGAAAGATATGAATTAGAGAGTGATGATGAAGGTCGAGAGAAAAACGATGGTGGTGGTGTTGATTCGAAATCGAAGGTAATTATGTTTTGTTTTAAAACCAGTTTGGTAGGGCATGTGGAACATGTCAGATGAGAACAAACTGATATTGGACTGATGTTTGATGCACTAGTAAGAGCCGAAAATTGAAAACTGAGAGCACAGGTTGACAGTTATGTACCATGTCTTTTATCTTGGTACAATTCTACTTTTACATATGCGAAAAATGTTTCACATCGCTTAGAAAGAATGCAGTTTACAAGACATATGTAAAATGTTAGGTGTATTAAAATTTCGTCATGGTTTAACAGATGTTGCATTAAAGGATTTAATTAATTACACATCTATCATTAGACCTGATTTGAACATTAAATCATTATATAAGATGAAAAAAGAAATAACAAATGCTTGTCCAAATGATATTGATAAAACTACACTAAAAATGTGTCCACAATGTAATTTATTATGTAGTAATGATAATTGTTGTACAAACAAAATTGTGAATATTATCAACAAGTTATTCAAATACCAATATGTTTTCATGTGTTAGATGTTGCACAACAAATACAATTAATGTTTAAAAGAAAAGATTTTTTTCAACATGTCTCAAGACCAACATTTGATGATGATCTTTCTGATATTGTTACATCAGAAGAATATAAAAATGGAATTGGTGTTGAACGAGCATCATCATCCAGTGACATAGTTATATCATTACAGTTTCATTGTGATGGTGTTTCTGTATATGATATTAATAATCAGTTATCTGTATGGCCATTTTACATGGTTGTTAATGAAATGCCATTGAAGTATCGTTTCGAATTATCTAATTTGATATTATTCACTTGTTGGCCAGCAGATATAAAATTAGACAGGCAACGAATGCAAATACTATTAAACAAAATGGTGGAAATGATGCTTCCATACGAACATGGAATAACATTGGTTAATCCAGATGGCATGAGTATTAAAGTATGTAGGTGAGCACTTCTAAGATCGAGTTCTATAAGTTAATACTCTGCTACGAGCGTACTAAGCAGCAACAGGCATAACCTTGATAAAATATCTCTCACCAAGAGCGATGTGAGAAAGTAAAATGATACTAGGCAAAAGCCAATAAAAAACTATACACCACTAATTCTATAAGCT